CACACACACACACAGAGACAGATAAATAGAGATGTGTGGAGGCAATGCTCGAGGCTATAACTGTTCACTGTTACTGCTCACACACAGACACTCACAAAAACTGATGACAGCTGATCCAGAACCACAACCACAGAGACCTCTTTAGACATGTTTCTCTCTGTATTGGTAATTTAATTATAACATATAACATAAAAAACACAGAAAACACAACAAAACAATAAAAATACTGATACAGAATATGAATATTAATGTTTTTATTAGCGATATAAACACTTACATTAACTCTCTCATGCATAATCTATCATCTATAATCATCAGATCTAATCAGATTTTCACTCAAACATGCTGATAACAAGATAAAATAAAGATTAACTGTGTAATTAATACTGTAATTTTAACCAGCACTGTGATGGAAAAGGTCCATTTGTCTTTTATCTTTATATATTCTACAGATGTAAAGAACATGTGAAGCTTTGCAGTAATCTGAGGTTTAATCTCCTCATTAACACGGTGGTTGAACATAAAGCAGCACTATGGTGGGAATAAACATCATGAGTTCACTGCTCCTCCTCAGGCTGTAGAGGACAGACAGACAGACAGACAGACACATAGACATACTATAGAATATAATTCTGTTCCAACAAACTTTATTTAGTATATTTACATTATTGATCCCGGCTCAGATTATATTTTATATACATATATTAATATTGTTATTGATGGTTTCTGTAAGCAGTTAAACAACCTGATGGTGGCGCTGATGTTCATCCTCTGTTGGCGAGTTTTAAATGAATCTAACGTCGTCTCAAGATGTTTGAATCCGTTAACATTTTCTAATCTTTATCCAAGTACACCGAGAAACCGTTCTCTGGTGTCCACGCTGGTATTTTTTACCCTAAAATCTTTACAACCTCAGTTAAAAGATTATATAAGTCATTAAAACATAATCATTGAAATCTTACCTGGTTTTTCATCAAATGTTATTAAATAAAAACGTCCCGCACACATGCTTAATTAATGAAACATGAATTTATTAGTTTTTAACAAATAGAACTGGTCTATGATGGTTGATAAAGCACGGGGCGGAGGTCAGGTGGGACGTTCTTTCTCTATTTCTGGATATCTTTAGAACAAATGTCTCACTGATATGTTTCCCTCCATCTATACAAGGAGCCTTCATCAGTCTAACTACCCACAATGCCTCTGTCTCACTGTCAATATGACTCTCATAATGCATAACGAGTAGTTGCTGTCTATTAGCACTGTAGGACTCTGATACACTGATTGGCCTGTAGTGTGTGTGTGTGTGTG